GGCTCCTTGCGGAGCATCCCTAATTTGCCCATTTATGTAGACAATTAAGATATAATCAGGTGCCATTTTCACTAGATATGTTACCGAAAGAAGTACAAGTTTCAAACCTCAAAAAGCATGGCTGCTTCTATTGACAACAAAGTCTCGTAAGAACTCCTTCGCGCGGCGCATGACAATGCGCAAAATTTTTTTTTCTTCTTTAGATTAAAACGGGCATAGGCATGTATATATGTCAAGCCACGTATAGGCTCGCGCAAGCAGCTTTGAGAGCGTTGCAGTGCACGGTACGAAGCGGGGTACAGCGCATGTTTACAAACGCTGCATGGTAGGAGACGGAAGCACGCTTCGTTTGACAACTGCAGTTGTTTTTGTGTTCGCATTTTTACCACAGAGAAAGATTTACAGGCACGAGGTGAATTCCACAGAAGGCGGCCATACGGCGCGCTTTAGAGCTTGTGCACCGGGAATAGCTTCTAGTGTGGATGCTTGGTCTTCACCACCGTGGTCTTCACCTGCTGGGGCGGGGGACACCGGAGAATCGCCACATGACCTATAGGAAACCAAAAGGGTCCCTATACTGCCGCGCGCACCAATACGGCGCCGCACCAGTATACGGACACCAATACGGCGCCGCGGTCTCAGCGAGAAGCTTCTCAAGCGCTACTTTGGACCCTACAAGGTTCTTCGCCGTCTCGGGGACTTAAACTACGAGGTTCTTCCCGACGGAACTAGACCATCAAGACGACGCCAACCACGACCCGAAGTAGTCCACATCGTGCGCCTCAAGCCGTATTACGAACGATAGAACTTTGAACTCTCGTCAAACCGTGAAGTGTGACTACGATTCTGCTATCCTTTTGTTGTGGCTTTGTGTTTTATGTTGCATCGGGACGATGCTCTTTTAAAGGGGGGGATAATGCCGCGCGCAGGGCTGAGAAAGACTCGCTCGATCACGAACCTCTAGAAAGTTCTCGTTTATTCTTGTTCCAGACGTAACATCTATCGTTTATCCCTGCTTTTGTTGTTCCAGAAAAAACGTGTTCATTCACGCCCCGAGCGCGCTACGCTCGAACCTTCTCCGCCGAATCTTCGAGATAGTGACTCACCGTAGATAAGAGGCCGCCCGCGACATTGTCGAGTCAGTTTCGCCTCAGCGTTCGATCCTGCTGCTTCGCCGCCTTCGACGCCCGCGACGCTCTGTTGTTATCTTTCTTTTTCGTTTTATTTTTGGGCACAAGTTCGCCCCATTAAGCGTTTCAGTTTCCCCAGTTATTCTTTCTTTCATTTGTTCATTCGTGACAATACAAACCGAACAGATGTTTACGGCCCAAACCATAAAGGGATTGTCCGGTAAAGTGTTGAGTTTCGGAAAACAACTAAATTATATTGTTATTGCTTCTAGAAATACCTTCCGCACAATATTCGAATTTTTAATCCTCCCTGAACGATTAATTCAATTTTAAACGGCCAAACTGCTCAAATCGCACCCGCGAAACACACGACGTTTTCGTTGGCAACAGCGGAAGCTCTGACGTAGCATCACGCACAGAGGGCCACGACAGCTCTTGTACTGCTGTCTCGATAAAACAACGTCGTTGTGAGAAAGTCAAGATTTAAGGTTTTGAGGGAAGCTCAGTTCCTTGACGACCATCTTTGTACGCACCATCAGCCACGTTGATCAAAACCGGGAATAAATCAGCGCCCGCCACTCTGACGCTACCATGTCTGATGGGACATCACGACACGACCGACCACGCATAGTTGCGAAATTCGGTGTGCAGTTGCGTTCATAAGTAATTAAACGAATATAGAGGCGCCTTCTTAATTAAATAATTATCACATCTGACTATATTTCAGCCCACTCTACGCGACCAGCAAAGCGTATACTTGCTTCGAACATGCATGTTCGCAGACAATTCGGTTGTTATATCATCAGCGAATGCCGTCTCTTTTGAATGATGTACGAGCAACGTGCCTGCGATTTTAAAAAGCCGGGATCACACTGCCTAGAGTCACTAAATGAGCTACACTTAGAGTATCGACACTCTGTTCCCCGACATTGTTGTGGGCGCCGCCTGTTTGGTGCTTGTGCAAAGCAGACGCAACTGTCGATCGTCATGATTCAAAAGTGCGACTTCCTCAGCATTAGAATCGGTGTTAGGAAGCTCATGTAATATTGCTTCACTCTGTTGCGAACTGTTTAAACAATTGTGGAGGACGGAAAAGCGTTTCCTGTGATTGCAGATAGAGCTTCAGACACCTGGTAACCATGATTTTAAGCCACAATATGGCCAAGTGTCGTTGCCACTGATCTCTATTGTAGTAGACTGGATCGCGGATCGGGAGCCCGTCGGTGTCGCCACCAGCGGCCATTGCTTGACACCAGGCAATACACGCAAGTCTATCGGAGAAACGCACAAAAGTAAAAATATTGAGGCATGTACGCTGTGCTCGGAGGCAAGTATTTTATGGTGTGCTGCGATCCTTATGTCGGGCGTTTGCAGATAGAATTGGTATTTGTCAAATGTTTAGTCGCCGATTAAAAAATCAAACGAACCGGAGCACCTTCGGCTGAGCTGGCAAGCTTGCTCTCGTAGTGGAGTAAACAAAGCTTGCCGTCAATAAGACCGTCCTCGGGGAAGCCCAGAAGTTGATGAATGACAAAGAAGTTCCATCTCGACAGCGGCTTTCCGGGAGTGAGCGAATTCCGCGTAGCAAAGCCTTCGAGCTTGTCGTCTGCTAAGCCCAACTCAACAAAACCGCCACCGACTCCGCGGTAACTCTAGGTGACTCTCGCCTCATTGAGCTGCACTACATTTTTCGCCCAGCGGAGTCACTCTCGACCACAAAATATTTATATTTAAAAACTGCGATGGTTGTGAGTTTTAATGTTTGTACGCAAGCTATTTGACGGGCTTAGCGAAAAGCAGCCAAAAAGTTTCAGTGCCGACAACAGCTTAGAAACGAGGGAACTGGGGCCGAGTGTCGCCGGTGGCGACACTCGGCCCCAGCTGCCGAGGCGGCGGTCCACGATCCAGCCTACTACAATAGAGATCAGCGGTCGTTACTCTGGAGCGTAGCTTATTTAGTGGCACTAACACTGCCTGTGTACATCGTACGAAAGACATACATATTCGAAAGCGAGTCACCACGAGATCCGTGCTTCGAATGCCTCATGGCAATGAGTGCATGGAGAAAACTTGGCACGCGGCATTCGAACCACGGATATTGTGGTGACTCGTTCTCGCAGACTGTCTTTTGCATGATGTGTGAGCAGTGTGGTCCCGACTCTAGGCAGGGCAAGTGACATCCGCTATGTTTCTGCTCGTGTGTGCAAGCACATGTAGTTGCAAGTCTTCATGTCACTCAAATTATGAAATGAAAATATAGCCGAACTTTAAACTTCCTACTTCGAAAGTTACGTAGGGCTCCAGAAAAAACAAAAAGAAACTGTTTGTTGGTTTTTGGTGAGACCTAAAATTGAATATGCGTGTGTACCGCGGAATCCGCATCAAATGTGCCTTGTACAAAGAGGTAAAAAAAAAAAAAAAAAATATATATATATATATATATATATATATATATATATATATATATATATATATATATATATATATATATATATATATATATATATATATATATATATATATATATACAAAACCTTGCAGCAAGATCTGTATGGAGAAATTATAGTACAAATGCAATTGTAACAGTGATAAAACGTTTAATTGGATGGGACGGTTTATCCTAAAGGTTTTTGTGAGCAGTTTTCAATGACTTCATTGGGATTGAAAAAAACTAAGTACTTAAAAATACCCAACTACGTCTCAAGTCGCACATAGACCAGTCGAGGAATAGAAAAGAAATATGTCGTACAAATTATTAAAAGCAATATATTTTAAACAATTATTAGGTGGAACGAGTTGCCAGAGGCATATTTAATGCATAATGATATGAGACAATTCCTTTGCGCTAGCCCACTCGGTCACCGATCCCCTGCAGCTCGCGCTGCAGAACCCAGAGATCCTGGGTTCAATCCCCACCCCTGCCCGTTTCAATCTGGATGAGCATCGTACCGGCGTGCGGTCGTGTATCACTATACTGCGTGGTGCACGTTGAAGACCCCAGGCTAGCGGTTGTACCGCACTGGCTAAATTTGTCATCTGCAGCGAGTGACTCGTCACAACTTTGAAATGGCTGACCCACTACACGCTGTCTAAATATCCCCACAACCCCTATTTTTACCATTAATTCGGAAACTGGTCCCGATTTTAGATTTTTCTTTACATGCACGTTTTATGCGTTATAAACAGCCTTTATTGTATATTATATTACTATCATATTATTGTGTCTTTTAATGCGTTAGCATTAGAACTCGTTTTCACGAAAACCCGGGGCCGGCGGTGTTTTTCGTGTGTCAGCTACAGGGACAGAGGGTGACGCGTACGACGCTCCTACTGTTCCGAAGCGCTGACGTCAGCATGTGTCAACCTCTCCCCCTCCATCTTCCTCTCTCCCTGTAGCTGACAAACTGAAAGACACCACCGGGTGCCGCGTCAGCGCTCGGCTTCGAGTCAAGTCTGAACTTTGAGCCGAACGTTGACGTAGTCGTCGTGACCAATCTGTGCTCAGCGTCGTCCTTCTCAGGTGACGCCATCTTATTCAGCACTACGTCTTTGTTATCTAGGAGGTGTTGCGCCGCGGCGCGGTGGAATGCGGGCGCAGGGGCGTCACTAGGGTCAGCGGCACCCAAGGCCCGGCGCAAACCCCCCCACGCCCTTGTGACGCCGGTGTGCGCGCGTGCACAGTTGACAGTTGCAGCTCTGCCTGCGCCGGTTGTTTTTCGTATCGGAACCGACATCGGAGCCGCCCAAAATTCGACCATCAAAAGCGCAAGTGCGGAAAAAATATGAAGCAGTTCTACAACTTCTGCTGAAGCAAATGCAAACCAAAACAACACTTGGAGACATCGGAGTATGGTGGAATAGATTGGGCAATATCGACAGCTTTAGTGACTCGTCTGAACGTGTCGCGCAGTGGCCAGATACAGTCGTCCTCGATGCAAACAAGCACACGGGTACGTGTCGTCATCGCAGGCTCCGTATCGCTGACACCGCGCAGCGTGTGATTCCTGGAGGCGGAATGGCCTGCGTGGACTGTGTGGGGACGCCCGGCAGCGTGGCATGTTCGCTCGTGCCTCCGGACGCCGCTCTGGAACACCCAGTGACCACAACGGTGAGTTCACGACTCGCTTTCTGGGCGATCTTTCGATTTACAAACCCTTCCCCTACAGCAGGGGTCTCCGAACATTTTCGCCAAGGGGCCGGACCTGTCGTTGTCTCGGGGGCCGGAAAATAAAGAACAAGACAAAACTAAATAAATAGTTCTAAATAGGCAATTATTAAATACAAAATTGAAATTTAGAGTAAAAATTACACAAAGAATGGTACGGCAGATGAATACAACAACTTTATTTTTAAATGTAGTATTAGCTAAAAACTATTACACAATATGGGGACCCAGAAACCTCACCAGGCATAAATCAAAGCACATAGAAACGTTCTCATGTTCCAGCAGGGCAGAAGACTAATTACTGAAAAGTGACAACATGCACTATAGACGCTTTGCAGCAGCTGTGCAAGGACGCCGCCATAACTGACCTTCAGTTTTTGTTTCCTCTTATTACGTTTATTTCACTTCATCATTACCATAGCAGGCCAGGTTATTGCCATATTAGATTCAACTGTGTCCTTTTCTAAAGCATCGGCCTCTGTACAGGATCGTCAACTACCGTTTCAGTTGCTCGGCATCTCGGTGAGACAAGAGAAGGTCAGCTATGGCGGCTGTAATTTGGCGCGTGTGTAAAGCGTCTATACTCTGTTTCACCTTGTGTTGTACCGCAGCGAAGGCTACAAGCGCGAGCTTCTTGCTCTAGGGCACATCTTGGCAGCACAAGCTCTCGTGCACCAAGGGCAGCTGCCAACGCTATGAGCTCGCGCTTCTAGCCTTCGCTGCGGTACAACATAAGGTGAAACGGAGTATAGATACGACACAGGACACTAAACAAACATACGAAGTTACAGAGATGAAACGGGGGACTGAGAATGATGATACTGGTGAGGGCAATGTCCAGCGAATAATATGACGAGAGGACACGCATACGATAGGCAATTTCCTCTTTTTCTTTTTTTTCTTTCTGGTGTCTTAGTTTACGTGGTCGACGCGCGTTGCGGCGCTGTTTCTGTACGCGCGCTTATTTTTACGCCGGTAGCAGCGGGCCTGCTGGAAGTGAACCGCGTGTCGGGCTTCATTGGAATGACCACGGCCTGCCACGGGCCGGTCAGAAGACCTCCGCCCGCTGTGGCTCGCGGGTCGCGGTTTAAAGACCTCCGCCCTTGAGCATAGATTCCCAAACTGAATTTCTAGGAAATCAAGGGGTTCCTCGAGATACCTTCGAGGGTTCGTCGGGATACACTCGTGGGCTCTCCGGGGTTCTCTCAAGAGTTCTCCCGGATACCTTCGAGAGTTTGTCAGGATATTCTCAAAGGTTTCTCGGGATTCCTAGAAGAATTTCCCGAGACACCCTCGAGGGAATTACAATCTCCTAAATCTCCTCGACCGCCCCTGGCTCTAATCTTCCAGTCAAAGCACCATTGTAACTGATCTGAGGCCACTCACCGATATATAACTATGGGCCAAAAACACGTCATTGTTTGCAAAGCCTGCAGGCCTCCTCACTGCTGCATTGCATCGATGCCGAAACTTGGAGGGGTCTTCCAGTTGCCATTCGAGGCATGATAAGGGTTACTAAAGATGTAAAATTTTCAGAAACCCTTGCGTAAAATCTTCAAGAGCCACCAAATATGTTACGATTAGATCACCGGCACTCCGTTCATTCCTCGATTATCTTGTAGGCGCCGCCATTTTGGTACTTAATGAAGTGTAGGTGCTTAGCGATAGTTATGGCTTGAAAGTGCGACTTCCTGAGGTTCAGGTAAAGCGTCAGGAAACTCAAGTATAGTATCGTTCTGCTCTGTCGTAAAGTGTTTTAACGTTTCTCGAGGGCCGAAGTGAGTTTCCCGTGATTTCAGATGAGGCTTCAGACGACTGGCAACAGTCATTTGAGGCACCAAGATTGCAGGAGTGGCGTTAGCGGTTCTATACTCTGCTTCACCTTGTGTCGTACCGCAGGAAAGGCTACAAGCGCGAGCTCCTTGCTCTAGGATATATCTCGGCGGCACAAGCTCTCGTGCACCAAGGGCAGCTGCCAACGCTATGAGCTCGCGCTTCTAGCCTTCGCTGCGATACAACATAAGGTGAAACGGAGTATAGAGTCTCCTGTTCGCAACCCCACCCTCGTGCACTTGATCGACGTTGTTCTGTTTTACAATTTTGCCGCATGACCGCGGTCGTTTACGTGTGCACATCTGAACAGAAGCGAGTGCCCGATCTCTTACAGTCACGTCTTTACCGCTGGGTGGCGTCGCCTACCTTGAACAGAGAGGTAAAGACGGGAGCAGAAGGTGGAAAATTCTGAACACTGACGTCGGTGGTACCGAAAAAGAGAGTGAAAGAAATGTAAAAAAAAAAAAAAGAAAGCAGACGATAGGCTGGGCGTGTTTCTTTCACCGCGACGAGTTGAAGTTGTTCGAGCGCCTGCTAACTTTATTTATTTTTATAGAATGCACGTCGCCTGTGTTTTCTGTTAGGTAAGTCCAAGATAAAACTACAGAAAACCAATAGGTACACACCTTACAAGTGAGGTTTTCCGGCGTTTGTTGTCATATTAAAGCGTCGCCAGTCAACTGGGCCCATCCGGACCACCAATGCCTGCATTTATGCAACACCGTTTCGAAGCGGCCGCAATGCATAGATCTTTCCCTTTAGATCAAGGGTCGGCAACCTTTTAGCTAAAACAGGATAAATTGCCGGACGGAGAAATGGAGATTGAGGAAGAGGAGTAGACCGGGCAGGCAGGCAGTCAGCAATCCATAAAAACAAGATATAAACACAAACTGTTACTTACTCAAAGTGATATGCAAATATATTCGCTTGAATCAGCCAGGTAACGTACAATTACTGGAGCCCCCTCTTAGTAAGAATATGGGTGCTCAATATTGCTTGCGAACATTGAGGGTCGTAAAATATTTTATAGGTACAAATCTGGCATTCGCAAGGTACACGTTTCACCGCACGGTCTTCAACTTGAAAAAGTATGCTCGCAGATAACGAGCTGTAGCGAACACTTCGATCGAGGCCGCTGCGAGATGTCGTAAATTTGAAAACTTTATTTGAGGGAGGCAATGGGAAAATTTTGAAGCCGTTCTCTTCAAATGCATTCTTCATCTTATTGTTTGTTAGGGGATCAGCTGATCAGCGAACTCTTTCTGGCAAATCCCTTAGCACTTGAACGGAGTTACTACACCTGATTATGTTGGGATTATAGCCAAACATATCTATTGTCCTATAGTGTGTGTTCGAGGCGAAGGGGAGGAGGGGGGACGAGGCATTTATAGTTATTTATAAATAATTATAATTGCCCCCCCCCCCTTCTTTATACTGCATTGGGGGGGGGGGGGGGGGGGGGAGGGAGGAGGCATCTATTGTATAGTGCGTCGGGTCGTATAATATTGTCCGCGGGCCGTAGCTTGCTGATCCCTGCTCTAGAAGATTATATTAACTCTATGACCTAGAAGTTGCGGATACTTCGTTTCATTGTGAGTCAGAGCGCAGCCGACGCGAGTTGCTTGGTCCAATAAACCAGCGCCAAAAGCGCAACTTCGCTGCGTCCATCGATTTTCTGTGCCTGTTCTGTCACATGCTATGCGCTGTAACCTTGAGCTCTTCTACGTGGCAGTCGCCATCTTGAATGGGGGAACTTTAGGAACGTAGACAGGCGGCGAAAAAAGACAAGGACAAAGAGACGTAGACACTGGCGCACTTGCAACTAACATTATAAATGTTAGTTGCGAGTGCGCCAGAGTTTACGTCTCTTCTTGTCATTGGGTTTTTTTGCCGCCCCTTTAAGTTCGAGACATAAACTTGGGGTGGTAAAATGGAATCACCGCAGAAGCCAACTGCTGATATGGCCGTCATGCAGCCGAGTCGACCAACACCACTCGTTTATCCCGACTCATCCACTCCCGAAAGTCAGCGCCCTTTGAGTTACTTTGAGCGCACACTATTTATATTCGAGGACAACTTTCTGTGGTATTTCAGAAGTAAAGAGTGCGCGTGCACAGCTTTGATGAACGCTCAACGCGTGCAATTTTTATCACTTGTTCTCGAACCTACTTTCACGGCTTTTCTCTTGGGACCGCCAGGCGCAGCGAATATCTGATTTACTCGAGAAGGCTGGCGGGCGAGCCTGCCTCCACAGCTTTTTGTTCTAGCCACTTGGTACCGTCGATTTCGCTGCATAGCCACATAAAGTTGTCTGCTAGTATAAAAACCACCCGGAAGACAAGAGACGACAAAAAGGACGAAGATATTTGTTTCCGGAGCTCAACTCGAGTCAAGAGGAACAACAAGAAAAGCTGGGCGTAAATTTCTGCGACAGAGAGAGCACCGACCCGAGCACTCGACACCGACGCGCGTAAGCGGCTGGGCAGCGGCAACTCTTCCAAGTTTCACGGGGGCACCGGCTTAGAGCGTCATGAGCGAAATGAAGCACCCCTGCGAGGACATGAAGTCCGACATCGAGGTGCGTTCGAGACGTCCGCTGTTGCTGGCTGCCTTAAAGGCCATCGGCCTTAATTGGCCCAAAATGTTGTCGGCCGCTCGCTCTTGCAGACGGACGAGATTAACGTTCACATCCAGAACCGCACGCTGGCCGACGTATTGCCGCGTTCGGCTGGTCCGTCGCACTGGCCGCCGCCCAATTCGATGGTATGTATACTATAGAGTTACCCAATATGGCGCATGTACAGTTACTCTAGATTTGTTGCAGGTTTAGAATATCAGGAAAACCCCTCCCACGCAGCTGTCCTCTCGTCGTGACAGGTAGTTCTGGTAGGCCTCCTCTCCAGTGTTCGCTCTGCTAAAATGGAAAGAGTAGAGGGCTTTTCGAGAGAAGCTTAAGTTCCGCTTTTCTTAAGCCGCAATAGGATGGGTGGCACTGTTGTAAACTGGACACGCGTCCATCGACTGATGTAACGGCGACAATATATATCACAGAAGCCACCGGATAATAGCACGGGATGTGGATTGGTTGTAGAGGCGCCCTGCGAATGACGACGGCAGGGTTCGGACGCCACTGGCGTCGCGGCGTCCCGACACCCGGCTGTTGGAACCTGCAGGTTCCTCTGCTGCGGAGCGAGAGAAAATGCGCCTGCCGTGCTCATCCATGATGTTGTTCTACCGCCAGGATAGCGGCGATGAGCCTCTTCTTCGGGCTTCTGACGTCACTAGCTAATGTATAAAGTCGAGGGGACATAATCTGCACGCCGTCAACGCACCAGCCGGGGAAACGTTCCAGGCCGCACCAACCGGTTGCACCGATACCTTAAACATCATAGTACCTTAAATCATGCTGAACAGAATCCCGAGACTGAGGACACAAACGGGACAACACGCACACACACACCAAGGTCTCAACTGTGAAACCCTGGTATCTCTGTGTTGCCCTGTTTGTGTCTTGTTCAGTATAGCCTACTTCCACAAGCTCGATGGAACCCTTAGGAGGTGTTTTTTAATGTCGCCACCCGACGCAGCTCAAGACGTCCACGTCGTGCGGACACTCCACGTTGAACAGCAAGAAATTCGCCCTGGATGAGACAAAATCCAGGCTGCGAAAGGCCTCGCTCCAGCTGAAGGTATGTCCAGCACGTTGACCCTTAAATCGGGGGTCCCAGAACAAGCTGGCTTTTATTTAAAGTTTGGATCGCGGTCAGCTATGAAATCAAGTGGCTCTTAGCTGCTATGATCTAAACTCTTGTCGAGTTATGATACTAAAAAAAATGCGGGGCAGGACACTTTTTTTTTTTTTTATTCTTGGCCCATCTTGAATAAGTCTCTTCAAAGTACCTGATCAAACAACATTGAGGCAGTAACAGTCTCCTAGCAAAACGACGTGTACTGTTAAAAAAGAAAATGAGTTATTTGCTACCTAGCGCAGGTTGAGAAAAACGTTTATTTCGTCCCGATCGGAGGACGCAGAAGAATACCAACAAATTATGTTTCCCTTTTTGTTTTCTTTCTTTTGTCGTGTCTGCGATCAAAGTTGGCTCAATGTCTGCCAAGTGCGAGTCGACTCTTACTGTTAACACCGCAGCTTGGGCTAGTGTGAGACGTTTATGCGCTGTGAAGTACAAAGACTCTCACTGCTCGTCCATCTACTGCTGACTTTGTTGGATTTGGTGATTAAGATATAACGATTCCATATATCAAGCGATGATAACATTATGATTTATGGGCCGCATAAGTAGAAACTTATGTTGCTACCATATCGAATGGTCCGAAGAGTGACTATGAAACACATCGTGACGTCGCACGTAGCGGCATTGAGACTCTGCAGTAGAAGCTCGACCTCCAGGGCAAATTTTTTACCTTTCATAACAATCCGGCACACGCGCGGAGAATGCATTACGAAAAGCAACGAGTGCGTGCTGAAGGCAGAGCTTCTTTTACAGACTTTATGTTGAAACATAATATGGAAATTCATTCATCTAACGATCAGCGATGCATGTTTCATCCCTGCCAAGTTGCTGCAACGAACATGCCAACGCCACCCAAGGTCCGTGAGGGCCAGGCTGTGAATACAACCGTTTGAGTAAATCGCAAAAGATAATATTCTGCTCTTTACAGCACGTCCGACCATATCGTGTTTTTCTTTTTTTTTTTTTTAATAAAATAAATCAGTTTTCTTTATTTAAGTCAGATGTATTTGATTAACTTGATTTAAATCGTAGCTATAAAAGGTTATTCTACTATATATATTTTTAACATAGCACGTTGATTGATCAACCCGTCTGATCACTGAAAACAATGCCAAACAAAAATCACTGTAAACTAAAAGAAATTAAAAGTACAGTTTAATTAACAGATTTGTTTACTGAACCCCATTATACTAGAACTAAAGCAGCATGATTAATTAGTTAGTGAAAAATCTTTATTGCTTTTTCTTTCGCATTCTGATTTGCATGCACAATGACATCACTTTTCTTGTTTTCGTTTTTGGTTGCGTGTTTTGATTTGCTTCCAGTAGGATATTGCGTAACTGACGAATGAAGCGGAGGATAGAACGAAGGCTCAACGCTCCGATTTGCTTAGAAGAGCACTGCACGTATTCAGCCTAATATTTCTCGTTTGATGTTCATTTGATTTAAATACGAAAGAAATGCATGTAGAAAGCATCAAATGACAAACTCAAGTAAAAACATATCTATATATCTGGGGATTATTTTGTGCGGGAAAAGTTTGATTTAAATCATGTTGGTTCTTATTCTCCACCCCGAGGACTGTACTTTGCCATAAAAATTTAAGCTAGTTGAAGGATTTGTTGAATGAAATTGTCAAAAGGTATTTGTCTCAATCAGAAGTTATAAATAATAAAAGAACTTCAATGGCTCAATAGAAGGTTAAACCTTCTGCAAGCAAAGAAAAAAACAACAACTAAAGTGAGGTGGAAAATCATTCTTAGCTCGCATTTCTTCTGTTGTCCAATCAAGTGATATGCCTTCGAGTGCACAAAACTTGTGAGATGAAGTCTAGTCCGATGCTTACTGGTAGCGCTATAGTAACTGGCAGGACGAAAACGGTGTGGCGTACGACCGGCCTCCAGCAAGCGCTCGTTGCCTTCCTGTTTCGCGTACACGATCGAAGCTGACGAGACGCCGAAGCGCTACCGAAGGTAGAAGAAGCTCGCGCTGGAGGAAGGACAACGGAAACTCTTCTTTGCCGTTTTCACCGTGTCAGTGACTACCTTCCCACGTCAGTCAGAGCTGGTGGGTTGAATGCCGAGCAGATGTAAATCCAAACAGATACAAGGAGGTGACGAATGACTGTTGCTGCATGTAACACTCAGTTGTCAAGTACTCTTCCAAAACACGGTGTGTAATTTTTCTTTTTCGGCCGTCCTTGCAGGGTTTCCGTCTGGAAGAGGACGAGACGACTCCTCCAGAGTTGCTGACATTTCTCCAGTCGTCATCCAAACCTCGTCGCCGCGTACGCGCTTCACATGAACCGTTGTACTATAAAAATTGTTTTGTCTCTATTGATAAGGAGGTGACGCATTCGTAATATCAACGTCGTCCGCCCCACCCTCGGGCGCATTATGTTCATGTATTGCTTGTTTGATTGAGAGTGAAAAACACTGCCACCGATCTGCAGTGACCTTTCAAACGCTGTGAGTATGTTGCTAAGTTAAAAAAAAAAAATCTTTAGGAATTTTTAGAGTGGAAGCCGTCATTTGGTTAAGATGCAGCGTCTTCAGGGCCCTGAAAAAGTCGAGTTCCTTAGCAGAAAAAGCATCTTTCTGGAATCCCCCAGAGTGGCGCAACTGGCCGACGTTTCTATATGAGACTTATCCGAGGCGCATAAAATGTCGTCTCTTAGCTGTCGTCTGCCACTGGGAGATTTCCGGTTTCTTTTCAAGTTCTTTCTGACAAATTTGACCCTGGTAACAAAAACCCTGAAGAAGCAATAAGCTGGCAACAAAGAATAAAACAAACTTGGGACGAGGGACGACGAAACCCTCGTGCCGAGTTTCTTTGATTCTTTCTGTTGCCAGTCAATATTACCGACACGCTTTTCACTTAATGTTAAACAATAAGCCTCGCTTTAAAATGTCGGTTGGCACTTCTGGAGAGCCTCTATGTCGTTCCTTTTGAAAAAGCTACAATTACATTCATCACTTTTTTTTTTTTTTTACCTTCACCGTTGGGTTACTCAGGTGGGAAGTGCTACCGTCTCTTTCTCTGTGCAGTTCCCGCACAGTTGCCGAGAATGCTTCAATGACTGCATCGCCAAGCTCGTGTCCCTGGCTGACGTGCAGGAGAAGATGACATTCGGCCAGGCTCTCCAGCGGCAGTGAGTGAATGAGATCGACGTCATAGACAATGTCGCACGCAACGAGATCTCTGGTTTCTGGCTGGAGTAGAAATCGCTCCTTCCAGATAGCAACAAGAGGAATACGCGGTGCAGTTGCCAGCATGCAGCACAAGGGAATTATAAGGAACTTGTCGTTTTTATTCGTAGTTTCGGCCATTGTGTATAGTAGCAATGATTAGAATTATTGCGGTTTCAAGTTTCCGACTGTTGCCCAGCAACCATTCCAACGATCGCCTTCTGCGCACCGCGGTCTGTCTTCAGAGCTGAGGAACGTGTTCTGAGCGCGGGCAGTGGCTCCCTTCTGCGGAATACCCACGGATCTCTATGTCTATTTGCTGGATCGCGTTTGACCAGCTCCTCCTATGGACTGGATTGCGGTCACTGGCGGCCATCTTTAGGTAGAGTTATATCATCTCTAGCCATAATAGTAATATGGCGGACAGCGCAATGGCGGCAGGCTGCCATAAAGATAGCCGTAGATCTAGTACACTGTACCGTGGTTGACATTTCGTGCTTGATTGAAGTTGTTCGACGAAGCAGATTCTTGAAACCCGGCGTGAACGGTAGCCTCATCTTTGAGGACCCGGCAAAAGTTCTACGAAAGCGCAGCACCGGGGGAAAGCAGCGCAGCTCGCATCAAAAGAAGACTCCGTACCGTCGTCTGCTTTCGATGCTTCTTTCGATGCGACTTTCGATACGTGCTGTGCTGCTTTTCTCCCGGTGCTGCGATTTCGTGAAACTTTTACCAGGTCCTCAAAAACCGGACTACTGTTCACGCCGGGTTTCAAAAACATGTTTCGTCAGACAATTTCAATCAAGCACGCAATATCATCCACGCTATTTTGACCGCAGCCTGCCAACCCACCTGCCAAAACGCTATCTGCCATGGATGAATGATAGCGGCTGCAGCAGCTTACAGTGGCTAGAGGTGATATAACTCTACCTAAAGATGGCCGCCAGTGACCGCATTCGCGGAGCGGGCAAACGCTATCCAGCAATTGTCATAGAGATCAGTGGGAATACCAGACGCCGTGCATGCGTCCATAGTGACTCGGCATTTCCGGTCTGAGGAATAAGCGCCGGAAAAGGTGTCGAGCAATTTGCTTGCGCTACAGGTCGCAGCTTGTGCAAGGGCTATGCACTCCTCAGGAGTAACTTGTTGTTTCAAGACTTTTGTTGAAGTCGCGACTAACGATCCATCGGTGTCAATCTTTTGCATGATTCGAAACAAAAATTATAGATAGAAAGATCTCGCTACACGAATACTTTTTTATATAAGGCAGTGGAAGCGACAGAAACCTCGGCTGAAAATCCGAGAGAGAGAGAGAGAGAGAGAGAGACCCGGTTGTCGCTTTTTGTTGAACTCAAAGAGGGACTTCCTGGAAGCTTCAGACTGACAGCCGATGTTTAAAATCCCGGCCACCATTCTAGTGATTCTTGGAGGTTCCGTTTCGAGTCCTTCCTACCAGTTTCTTTCCGGTTTACTTGAACCGTGTATGACGTATTTTACGGGTCACTGACTCCACGGAGTCGATGACCCGAAAAATGTGTCATACACGCGCCTTCCCCTTTGGTACCACCTCCACGAGAGGCGCCACCGGCCTACGAACGGTGCAACGCCTCTTTATAAACAATTGATGCATCGGTTGGAGGAATGGCATATCAGGAAAAAATGCTAACTAGAAAGTGCAGGCTAGCCGGTGTATACTGAACGTGATGGTAAACCCTGAAACAGGGGGGGGGGGGGGGGGGGGGGGGGGGCGAATAGAGCAAAAACAGTAAGGGAGACAGTTAAATTGGATACAGACATCGTCTCAAGGATTCAGATGCTGTCTTGTCCCCATTTTCTTTCCGTTTATCGTATTGTTTTTACTACCTTCCGGTCAGGTCTAAGAGTTACCTTCATGTTTAATCGTGTATAGTTTGCACCAGAACCAATAGTAAACGCTTCCGACTTTTTTCGGTCGTAGGCTACAATCCTTGAAATTTCTGTTCTTTCGGGCGCCGACCTGTTCTGCTTTCGAGTGCCGCTAAACCTTTACTCTTATGGATAACTTCCTGGCTATGTTCTAAATCTTACCCGAGTAACCTGCCTCCTACGTCAGCGGGTAATACCACGTGACATCGCGAGTAAACGATCTGCGACTCGATTTTGGAACGGCCGGGATAATTATCTGGATACTATGCGGATTGGCTTTGTCTTGGTCTACGACAAAAAGAAAACACAGCAGCAATGGCGGAGAGTAGCAGACGGTCCTTTTGGTCATCAAGAAAGCACTCGAAGAGACGAAATATTAATGACGACGCGGTGTTTTCTGAGGTGGATTCACTAACTCCTTTTAGTCACCTTCTTTTTGAGCTGTATATTGAGATAAAAATTACTTACTCCTTACAGTTAGACATCAAAAAGTGTTTTATTAATCAGCGCGATTGCCCTAAACGCATATATTCCCCGCATCGTAATTTGCATCGATTATGGTTTGCAGAAATTGATTCCACACGGTGTATGGTACAGCGCGAGGGTGGTTTCTCAAAAACGATATGAAACTTACATTCGCTTTGACGCGAATATGATTACAATAAAATCTTTGAAGCCTCCACTGCTTTACAAGCGTTATTCTCTCACTACACACACTCTAGAGAAAACAAAAATACTACCTTATCATTTTGTGCGTTCAAACATTTCAGCCTTGAACGTGAGAATACGGCATTCCCTCCAACGACGAGGACGAGATTGTGGAGAAGCTCCTGTTTACGCTCGCACTCTGATAATAACAAGTATACCTTCCCAGAGAAAGTGCACGGTCTGGATGTAATGCAGTCAATTCGTGCGTTGAAAAGAGCAAATCGCAATAACCACACATGCGGCACCTCATTCTTTGTCATTTCGAACGTCCGCCACCAAAACCAACGGAGCAAGCGAGCTTTGACGGCTGTCGGCGCAGAAAGCAGACGACGAACAGATCACGTGACGTATTTACTCGATTTGGTCCGACGTTACCCCCGATAGAGGAGGGTAGCGTGAGTAATTACTCCGGAGTAAACAACCCGCTTCTGGAACGCGAGTTCTGACGTCATCGAGTAAGCTCGAGTAACTTTTGGAACGCCACGGTACGAAACCTTTACTCCGGAGTCGGATCGAGTAAATTTAAGAACGCGAAAATGCGCGTCTCAAAAAACGGTTCCCGCAGCGAACAGAAATACATTTTGTTGGGAATGAAGCATGTCTGTGGTTTTAGGGCCATTGCACCGATGTCATCTTGCAGGCACAAGGAGGGCAAGCTGAAGAAAATCACCGAGACCACGGACTCTGAGACCTTCCTGGCGACGACGGGCTCCAAGCAGCAGCAGCAGCAGTACACCACATGCGACACCGTGGTGCAGCTGTATTACATCGACACCCACTCGGCGTCCAGGGTGTACGCCAATCTCTTCACCTGCAAGTAAGCAGTCGCCCGCTCCAAGAGCCTGTTCGCATTGTTCACTTTGGGAACGTACATTACATGAGTTTCAACTCCCAAGTACATTTCTCAAATAATATTTATCACGCAGGCGAGCTGGTTGTGCGTACTAAAGTGACGGGGCCACGGGGAGAAAAAAAAAAAAAAGAAAAAAAGGCCGGACAGGACAACAGCGTCTAAAAGACAGCTATGTTGGAGACATTTTTGTCTTGTGTCCGTTTTTTTATTTTTTTTCCTATAATCATTATACATTTTCTAAAGTTCCGCGTTAGCGATGAAACGTCGAAACTACCACCACGACCGCGAGATTCGCGACCATTTTACTTTCACACCACGTGATGAGTTGTTTCTTTTGGTCATCTAACGCATGGTAGTTTTTATTGCATGTATTTTTATGTTCCCGAGTATCTGTATGGCGGCAACATAGACTCGGATCGACGTCGCACTTGCAGCAATTGTGGAGGCTTTATATACTGCTGGGTGCATACATTCTGCAGCACACAGTTCGCTTCACCTACTTTGTTTTGCTCGCGGAGAGAACGATAGGAGCGACTACCAGCATTCTGCAATGACGCCTTGCTTGATTCATCTACACGCGTGTCAGGATGTCTACAGGGCATCGTATCAATTGCTCCCTATGCAGGAGACTCAGCGACCTGCACTCGGGCATCCACAACAAGAGCTTCGGATTTCGTCTGATTCGAAGGTGGGTCGTCGTCGTCGTCGCGTGCGGCACGTGGAGTCACCTGAAAGGGTTCCCAGAGTACCGCGATCGAAACAATTACTAATAGGAAGTACTAACTGGCGGCCATTGCTGTGTGCGCGACTGCTGAACACGTGCTGATGGATAGCTTCCACAGTTGTATTGCAACGTTCATTGCGCACCATCAAGATGGCCGGTCTTAGCAGCTTATTAATATGAGTTAGTTCTGAGCATGCGCTGTAAACAGCGCCCTCAAATAGGGCGTCCAGTGAATACCTCCTATAGACCTTTCTCATTAAGCGTTCCACGCATGCGTGACGCCGCCATAACTGTAGTTAATACGAGGCAGGCGCCAGTGCACGAGACAGCCCGTGCCGCCTCGTGCTCTGCACACGCGTGCAGAAAGAGATCACGCGATACAGATGGGATGTCCGCTCGCACGTTCCTCGCGTTCCTCGCGCTACCGCTTCGTTTCTCGTCGGGTTTGAAAACCGTGTTTCGGGTCTTCGCCGCTGCAAACGCTGTGCGCTGGCGTTCAGGTTCCCCGAGAAATGCTCTGTGCCACCAGATCCTGTGGCTCCAAATCTGCGAAAGGGCACTCTCTGGCTCCGTCGTCAAAATGCCAGGCTTTGTGAGTATAGAGGAAGATATGCTACAGATCACACGATACATGACGGCAGCGCTGAAGTAATGAAACTGGCTATAACATCGGTCTATTACCATTTTAAAAACGGTGATCTGCATCCGCAATTTTATTTCAGCAATATGGCCATGTCCTAATTAGCGCCGCCATCTTTTTTTTTTTTTTGTACTGGAGCAAAATTGAGAGAAGCGCAATTATGTAAGATCGCACTATTATGTACACGGCTGGCTATAACATCGGCAATCGCCTTGACCTGTCTGCTTCGCTCCTAGCAGTCGACCAAGTGGGCGTGTGGTTACCAACTGTAAGAGTAAGACCCCCGCCGTTCGGAACAACCACCGATCGCGTGTCATAGCTAGCCGTGTCCAGAATATACACTTCTGGCAGGAAACGGTGGCTGTCATCTCTCACTTGCTGTCACCTCAAAAAAAAAAGAAAAAAGCAAGCTTTGCGCGGTACATCGCGCGAGGTAGTTCTCAGAATATTTAGATGTAAGAAAAAGAGACGGATACTTCTGCGCATTAGAAAGGTTTTGTTAAGATAGCAAGAGTAATTTTTAATACCCCCGTAAGCAGATGAGTTCACCACCTAGATTGGTAAATTACTACCGCTCCGTGGAAAAACCATATGGTCCATGCGGTTCTCTTTTATTAAAGGCGAAGCTCCTTAGGGGCTTAGGGTCTAGCCTTGTCCGTCCGGCGTCCGTGCTCACATCGACTGCCATCCCATCTTTCTTCTTAAAAAAAGAAAAAAAAATAGTTGCACAGTCGACAGGATTCAAACCTGTGCGGGGAGACTCTAATGAATTTCTAGTCCATCGCCTTAACCACTCGGACACGACTGCGGGACGAGTGGGGGGCTCTGGGATGTGGTAGTAACTCAAGAGCTGGGGTTTCTGTCATGGATGAAACGTTGTATGTTTAGCCGCTCAACGTCCATACAGGAGAGGGCGCTGCGATCAAATGCGTATATAATCGCGTTAAACTTCGCATGCACTGGCTAATGAAGTCGAAACGCAACCCGGAACTCAGCACTACCTATGAGCAATAAAAAAAAGAATCAGCACCATCAACACTACCTAGGAACAAAATCAGTATCATCAGCACCACCAGAGCTTCGCGCCAATCAACATCATTCACCACGTGGAGATGCGGTCATTTTTAAAAGCAGGCTGCTGCTTTTTGCAGGGTTGCCCCGTCACTCCATACGTAGAAAAAAAAATGCCACGGCGACGTGCTGTCTTTTGAATTGAATTATGCAACTCCCTCCTACATCTGGAAGGCAAAGCGCGAAATGCTCACGTGAGAGAATTTCATTCACCGAGGCGAGCGGGCAGATCGCACGAAGTATACACTTGACAACACTCTGGGAACCCCGTCAAGTGGGTGACTCCAGTCCAGACGCTGAAAATGTTTCAATTGGTTCTGTCTTGTTCCCTTCACTGGCCCCCGCAGAATCCTCTTCATCGAAGACAAGATGCCGGACAACTTCGTGAAGGCTTACGACGAGTTTGCCGCCACACGCGCCCGCTCCTTCCATCCGCATCCCGGTGAGTGATGGATGGATGGATGAATAAGGTTAAGCGCTTCGGAATCGGGCGGTTGTTTGCGCCATCTAGTCACTGCCCCGAGAAGCTCTGTGATCTGCATTTTCTTCCCTACCGATTTTGTGTTCCCGCTTTACACTGGGAAACCGCTATTCACGGTGCTAGGAACGTACTGTCTACCTGGTGTATTTAATTCGATCAGAGGCTCTATTTTAGTCTCCTCGATTTCAGCCTCGTGATGTCGCAGCTGTGCCACGCTATGATTTCTGTTCTGGAGATAATGAAACACTGAGAGCGGTTGTGACACACGCCTATACCGCGGGCCTGTACTGCTGCGGCGCGTTAACGAAAAGTAAGGCAGTGGCGAGGGTTTCGATCATTTGGATCATGATTTGGATGCAACGCCCGCCTTCCCTCGTCTTCTTTGCCGGTGCTTCTACAATGAACAAGTATACGAGTGCATTGCATAGGCCTCCTGCGTTGCCCAGGGGGTGCTGCGAAAATGTACTTGTTAGGACTTGTTTTGGGTAGTACAAAGTTTAGCGTCTCAAACTGTCACGCATGCAGAAGCGTGCCTGCTCTGGTGCGGAGCGCGAGATCGCGATGAAAATACAAAGAAACAACAAAAATTCGAACGCCGTCAAAGCTGAGACGCTAAGAGCGTGAGCCAAGAGATGCCGTTTCACGCGTTCCAAAGTAGACATGAAAATGAAAACAAAATGAAAGCGTCGCGACACAGGTGTTCTGACGTCACCTCCCAGACATAAGAGACGCGTGCCCTAGCGGTGGTGTCATGAATTTGGCACTTTCGATTCTCTTGCAACGTAGTCAGGCCCATTTCTGGCGTCCAAAGGTGTTTTTTCGTTCTTCAGCACCCCACAGAATTAAAAACAGATCAACAAACGTTCCATTAGTAGTGCGAGGCTCAATCAGGTGAGCTTGTACTACCCAAAATGAGGGCGCTACAGTTTGTTCAAAGCTTCAGTGCAGGAGGCCTATAGCGGCACCTGGGCCAGAGACGCGTTCGTTCCAGCACACTATATGTGTATAGCATTAGGTTCGCAGCCAAGTTGATGAAAGCTAGTCGTGCCGTAAAGCTACCCGAGCTCGGGATAAAATAATTAAAAGAACATTAAAAGTTAAAGAAAAAGAAGAAGTGGAAGAAGAAGAAAAAGGGTGTTTCTTTTTCCATGTCCTGTTTTTCTTCCACTTTCAAAGTGTTTTTTTTTTTTTTTTCCCGATTTTTTAATATTCAGTCTTGGGTAGTTTTATTACGTAACTTTATATCAGGCATCGCCAACACGACAATCGCAGTATTTTTTTTAATATTTTGCTTTCTCGGGTTGGTATCGAACAGTCCATTGTATTACCTAATTTGTTAATTCATACAAGTACATATACCTACACGTATAGGTTCGGTAGTGGTGTCTTTTATATCATAGGAGAGGAAAGCGGGATAAAGTGTCTTTTAATTGAGTTCGTGCAAACTGTGTTCCACACTCTACATCGCCGGATTAATGTATAATATTGCCCCGAAATATCTAAATCGACATATGCTTGATGGTTTAAGAAAGGAAACGCCATGAAATCCCATATAAAACCGCAAGCTTTTCATCAACGCCTAGTTTTCAAATTTCAAAACGAGAAAAGGCAATTGTAAATACCCGTGTAATTTAACAGAAGTCTCAGATAACGCCGAGAAATGCAATATAATTGGTAAAAAATGCTTAAGTCCCCGTTTCGAACAAAACGTCTGACGGACACTTCAGAGCAGCTATACAACACGATCAATGCTTTGGTCACCCTACACAAGGCAGTCCGTCAAACTAGTTAAATAAAAGCGCGATATACCTCTCTGGTGTACTGATATAGGAAAAATATAAATAGAGGTCTATAAAGGTCTATAAATATGAACCTCTATAAATAGAGGTATATATTTATATTTTTCCTATATCAATGCACCAGAGAGGTGCACCGCGCTTTTATTTAAAAGTCTTCACTATAGCCTATATTATAAACATAGGGAAGCAAAATTAAATTGTTTGTAGTACGAGACCGACATCTGAGCAATCCTTTTGTATATGGCTTGTTGGTTTAGCATATTTTGTACGGAAAATGCTCTGGTATGTACCTCAAATGCATGCGCATTCGAGGTGCTAATGTAGTCTTGGTCTTAATACAGCGATACTTTATAAAACGGTCGACATTATTACGGGGGAGTTCTGCTGCATAGCAGTAGGAGTAGATGACTTCCGGCTCTTGTCCATTGAAATCTATCAATAACGGCTACTGTGGTCATTTATTGCGCATAATCAGGGAGGCTTCATTATTGTGATATGGAAGGCCCGCTGAAGTTTGTTGCTATATACTAGCTTAAGAGAAAACAAAGTGGAAGTCATCTAGCCTTGTTGCGATAACATAACAACCTCTAAAGTAAGTTTTATCTCGGATGCGGCAAAAACGTTTTTAACGGCGGTTTCTTTGTTCTTGGGCCGTGTGTGTGAACGGCGTTTTCAGACATGCGAAGCAAGATCCAGCGGTACATGCTGATGGAGAGCGACTACTGTGGAGAGAGCATCCTGCACGCAAGGGTAGGACAGGACAGCGACCACGTGCATTGCTGGAACGCGTGGCGATCCATAAAAGACTGCGCGTTATCCGGCTGATATGGCCATTATCAAGACCGAAATTGAGATTCCTGTTACCGCTGCTTTTGTGTTGTGCGTCTATACGTACGTATACACTGTCGTGGGAGTCGTATAGTGAAAGCTCAGAGCTCAGTCAATAGGAGGAGAAAAACGTGGTCATAACAACAGCGGAGGCGCCACCGGGGTTGGAAATTTTTCCCTCAGCGGTTGGAATTTGAAAAAATAAAACTGCAATCTAAACATTAAATTATTCGCACTTGCGACCAACCAAAGAATAGTTGTCAGAAGACTGAAAACTCGCATGAAAAATATCTAAACTGAGCCGGACAAAAGACTGACAGGAGCACGTTGCATATAACGCGGAACATTTGCCTAAAAAACGAATATTTAGAAAAAACTTGCAAGTTTGAAGTCGATGTTCTAAAAAAAAAAAAGAAACCCTTTTATTTCTTTCATTTCTTTATTCGCAGTTAGGTAATATAGTAGTCTGCCAGAAACTACCAACAGAAATCGTAATATATTGTTTGTATGGCTGCCATTAGGACTCGAATCTCGTGTTATGAGCGTTTTGAACGGGGCTTCGCATAGACGCTCAGCTGAGCAGAATTTTGACCTATGTAAGGCTTTCTATGTAACGTTAGTATTTACGTTAATATCTGAGCGTAAAAGCCGGTGAAGTAACAAGGTTTATCCTAACAATATTTATTTACTTGGCACTGACGTGATTTGCAAGGTGCGTGAACTTCGCCCTATGTAGACGGAGAAGATACGCAACATCTAGGCTCCCGGAAAAACTTACGCCAAAAGGGAAAAGTCTAAGTAACCCGGCATGAATCACTGAAATAGAAAGGAAACCGCGTGACTAACACATTTGAAGCCTTACATGCTACGAAGTGCTCGTTATCTTACGAAAGAGTCCGTATGTACACAAAATAAACCGTACTTCCTAAGCGTCAGATACTAAATCGTACATATGTATATGCACTAAATATCTGTTTGACATAAGGAAATATAACAATTACACATTAAGTTCGGTATTTCAAACTCAAAGCCGAAAGCAAAAGGCCCCAGAATAATTCTCTAACGATTAACATTCCCCTGAATTAGGAGGAAGTGAGCGCTGGTGCCCGCACTTGTGGACACAGATTTCTAAACTTTTTTTTAGGTGCACTACTCCAAATTTCATTAATGTTTATGGTTGGATATTGAGATAACTGCTAACGATAAATAGAAAACCTTACATAGGCTAAAAGTTTGCTCAACAGAGCGCCTGTGCGAAGTCCCGTTCAAAACGCTCATAGCACGAGATTAGAGTCTTAATAGCGGCCACACAAACAATATATTACAATATCTGTTGGTAGTTACTGTTATACTACTATATTCTCTAACTCTGAATAAGAAATAAAAAATAAAAGGTGTTTTTTTTTTTTTTTTTAGAAAATCGACTTCAAACTTGCTAGTTTTTCGAAATATTAGTTTTTCAGCCACATGTCGCGCATTATTATCGCAAAATATTCGCATTATATTCAAAAGAAAGCTTAATTAGAGCTTTACGGTGATGTAAAGATCATAGAAATATATTGATTAGGTCACACAACACAGCTTGCTGAACTTCGTTAAATATCGTCGCAGAGAGGAGATTTGACAATTAGAAAAAAACGTTAAGGATCTTATGACCTAGGCACTTAATTAGCATAAAAAAGCCTATGTCTAAGGCGTTCCCAAAAAGTTATATTGATGTAGCGTAAAAAGTAGGGAAAAGGGATGGAGTGAAATATGGCACCTCCGATAAGCTGGAAAAACGTCAGTTTTCACCTTGGCCGCTTCAACGGTCCATAACTTGAGAACAAAAAATCCGAAAAACTCAACGTTTTCGACTTCTTTTATTATAGAAATTGCCCGAGAACATCGTATTTTTTTTTTTTTTTTTTACAAAATTAAAAATTCGTTTCGAAATTCGTGCCCGAGTTGAGATAAAATCACCTTTTTTTTAATTCTAGTTATGGAACGTTTAGACGTGTCTAACCTAAGTAGCGTAATGAAACCTTTCTCAGTCGTCGTCTACAATGTGGGCTGGGCTTTCTTCTAAACCAAGCTAATAGAAATTGTTTTAGTTCTTTCAAAACAAAAATTTTAATATTGATCCAATGCTCGTTCTGCGAGCAGAACAAATTTGTAAATAAACTCGCTTTTAGAAAAATACAATTTATTTGACTCAGTAAATGCAACAGACATCTAGTAAAAGCTGACAAGAAAATCTCGGTGAAAACTCTATTTGTCGATCACGGAGAAACTGTTCCTTCTATGTGCAAAAAAAAAGTTTTTTTCTGAAATCGCAACTGAAACTTTGGTTGCTCAACTACAAACCTTAAACCCGTCTGGTGCAGATTCTTCCGCGTTATTTCCTTTGCATTGACTTGTCAAGTTTTTCCTGGCACTTTCCTATCTTCCTTCTTATTTTTACTTTCGGCAGAGCCCCGAAATCCGCCCTTGTTATCCGGGCGTTGAACATGCAGTTCAGGGCCACATCACAAAACACACCTGCCGTTACGGCTACGGCCGGAGCAGCTATGGCATCCCACGTTTTTTTCTTACTTCGTAGTGCATATGAGCACCAAATATACTATTTAAAAACACTTGTCACAAGATCTGACGCGGAAAAAAAAAAGATTTATTTCTGCTAAAGTCGCTGGTAGCAAAGAAAAAGGACGTGAGACCAATGTACTTGTTTAAAGTTAAAGGCTGCTCTTTCAGCATACCTAGTAGTCCGCAGCTTGCATGAGAAACTTATTGAGGAGGGTAATGATTATTATACGGTATCCATACAATCTAAAACAAACGACGTCAAAATAGACCTTATGCGTAACACCTCTTATTTTCACAGAGCTTGTTAGCAAAACATAGATGATGCTTATTGACTTGTTGATTCCCACAAAACGTACGGCTGGTTTGGAAGCGAAACGAGGCATCGCAGTCTTCACCATTTACAAAACACCGTCATCTTTCTGAGAGTTCAAAAACTAGGGCGCACAACAAAGCGACTGATTGCGGTTACCACCATCTTCCCCCTTTCTATTCAGTCCAAAATAAATAAAAACAAGAATTCATTCATTGTATGCGAAGAAACATGTACCCATAGGTTTTCATCTGTATTGATACTGAAAATTGTGTTCAAGCTATGCCTGTCTAAAGTCACGTCCGCTTTAAACGGGGATAGTTCAGACATGCCCACTAGGGTTTTGTACCAGGCCACGTAAAATAACCATAGCCTCCGCACGACCTTTTCTCCCCTCATGAAACGTCAGCAGAATCGGATCACGCTAATTCGGCTATTGGGCCCGAAACCGACCTTCGACGCTCTGATTTAACACGAACCCCAGCCGAACACGGACACAGCACTCGTGCCCACTCTCGGGCCTCGATCAATCGGACTGTAATGACGGTGAAGAGGTCCTCTACTTGTGGTGTTGGGTATACACGCGGGAGCCGTGCTCAGCGCAAGCTCTGATGATCGCTACTCTGCGTGACCTGCGTGCAGATCAAGCCGTCGCAGGCTATCAGCATCATCGGCCAGGTGGCCTGCACGCTGGCCGTGGCCGAGCGCGAGCTGCAGTTCGAGCACCGGAACCTGCACGAGGAGAACATCAAGGTGCAGGCGTCCACGAGCAAAAACCAGCACTTCCTGCTCGACGACCGCATCTGCTGCGTCAAGGGCGCCGGCCTCAAGGTGACGCTCTTCGACGACAACTTCAGCAGGATCACCTACAGTGAGTCGCGTCATGGGACGGCGGTGCGCGCGTGAGCAATAAACGTTTCACACTAAAAAAAAAAAAAGTTGCGTTATTACACATTTTAAGTATACGTAAAACAATCCGTTCATCAGTATGTTGAGATTCGAGAGTAAAGTTATGGAAACGTAACGCAAAACGCTTCTTTTGCGCTACATTATCAAGACTAGCATAGCTTTTACAGTGCTGCAACCCTTGTGAGAGCACGTGGCTTCCTCTTGCGTCTCATTTGCGTGCACTCGCGCAACTAGCTTTCACAGAGTTGGAGCACTGCGCAAGCGACGCTGTAGCTTTGACAACGTAGCACAAAATAGCTGACACCGAGTACAGGAACATATTTGGAAGAATGTAGCTGTGCTTCTAACTAGATTACATTTCAGCTCAATGTGACTGGAAATTAATTTGTAAGAACTTCACTTCAACTTAGACGTCTTATATGTCAGATAAAGTCTCCGTTTCAGATTCCTGAGCTCAGAATTAAGGTTTGAAACCCGAAGCACTCTCTTCCACAAGACGTCTTTAGGGCATCGCTCGTAGCCCTAGTTGCTTCAAGATTTGAGACCCCTGCGTTTTCTTTTGAGTATTATGAGCCCCTATACTGCAGCGCCATCTAAGCTGCGGACACTAGGCAGTTTTGGCACAGCGTTGCGGTAGGCCTGTATAGAGAGGTATTGCTGCTGGTAGCTCGCGCTGTTACTTCGAAATAAGCTCTTCATCGTGCGCCAAGCCGTGATCGCGGCAGCCAGCGGTAACGCTCTGCTAAAGCTGCCTAAATACGCGGCGAGTACAGTGTACTAAAAGCCCATACTTCCGCCCACCAGACGATGAGGTGGTGATGCGCATGAAGAACTACAACTGCCTGTACCGGGAGAAGACGGCCATCTATCTTACCATGGAGCGGATCATAAAGTGAGCACGCGGCCGGACGGCCCAAATGGGCATTGTTCGCAAACTATACCGCCATTCATCATTATGAACATTGTAGAGACACGTGCCGCGCAACACTTCCGGGAAAAGCATGGCGCCTTGAAAGCTGAAAGTAGCGATGACATTGACTGGACAAGTGCACTGTTCACTGCGCATGCTGAGAGCCAGCTGAGATTTATAGGCTTGATGGCGTAGAATCCACCTTGCAAAAGAACTGCGGAAGCTCATCGTCAACACACACTCAGCAGTTGCGCGGACTCATGCTTGACCAGCCAGTCAATACTTTCTATACTTGGTCTCACCGTACACGATGGAAAGGGCAAAGCCAGCGTCAGGAAATAAGCTATATACGCTCAGGGTATGAGCACTCCATTCCTCCTTTCCGATTATTTTGCGGGCGGCGATATTTTGGTGCTTAGGATACGATCTTTCCGAGCTTTGGGTACGGTGTCGGGAAACTCAAGCGATGACCTTTTCCTCCGTCGCTGTCCGCTTGAGCATTTCTGAAGAACGGAAAAGTGTCTCCTGCAATTCCAGGTAAAGCTTTAGATAAGTGGCAACCATGCTTTTAAATGCCAAGATGACTGAAGTTCACGTCTGTCTGAAGCGTAGCTGATTTAGCAACTCTAGCCAAAGGTGTAAGGGCCGCCAGGTACATTCACAAACCCGTTAGGAACCTCGTGTCGCGCTCTGACGTGTGTGTCGTGCTCCTAGACGTATACTCATTGATAGGTCAGAGCAATATAGCACTTGGTTTCTCGCTCACTTGTGATTGGATCTGGCGGCCCGTAGCTTTGACTTTTAGTACATCGGGTCGAGATGTGCGAGGAATCCACCTGTTGCATCGGCGCACCTACTTTGTATTCACTGGCCTTCATATCCGTTGCAGTTGATGCTGCGTGCGTGCCGACGGCGAGCTTCTAACAGGCTTCCGCACCGTGATTTGTACATCGTCGAACCTGGCTCGTTCATAGCAGGCGGTAATGATAAGCGCGTATGTTTTCTAAGGATGCGATGTGTGGAAACGGGCTTTTAATTGGCCGGTGACATTTTCAGCGTTCTCGCGTACACGGCGTGTGCTTCGGTCGCTTTCTGAAAACGACAAACGCGCGCGGGCTGGGCCTGTGGAAATCACAGTTTTCGCGAATGGTTTTGGAAGGGTATGAGAGTGAAATGTACGATTGCTAATGCCAATGGCACAGCGCGGGCTACATTGACTCTTTGCC